AAAGAAGCATAGTCCTAGCCATATCTTCAAGAGTCCTATTCTTTCTTTCAACTACTCCATTTTGTTGAGGAGTCCTAGGTGCAGAGAAATTATGATCTATACCATGCTCATCACAAAATTCAGCAAACTTAGCCTTTTCAAATTCAGTTCCATGATCAGACCTAATTGATGCAAGTTGATTACCTCGTTGTTTCTAAGTTTTTCTAACAAAGGCAGTAAACATGTCAAAGTCTTCATCCTTAGATGTTAAGAACAATACCCAAGTAAACCTAGAGTAATCATCAACAAGTACCACCACATATTTCTTACCACCTCTGCTCAATGTTCTCATTGTACCACAGAGATCCATATGAACCAGTTCCATCGTCCTGGTCGTTCTTACCATTTTCTTGCTTTTAAAAGAGGATCTTACCTTCTTCCCCCTTGCACCAGCCTCACAAACTTTGTCTTCCTTGAACTTGATGTTAGGTAACCCTATCACCAGGTCCTTGGAGACTAATTTGTTAAGTTGATTTAGACTTGCATGACCAAGTCTTTTGTGCCACAGGAGGGGATCATTGTCCAACACACTCAAGCAAGTGAGTTCATTTTCTGAAAGAGTGGACAAATCTACAATGTATATCTTGTTAACTCTTTTTCCCTGCAAAACAATCTTGTCAGTGATAAGATTAATCACAAAACATTTAGTAAAGGTGAATGCTGCCAGGTTACCTCTGTCACATAGTTGTGATACACTGATTAAGCTATATTTCAAGCCATCTATCAAGTAGACATTCTCAATGGAATGTGAGTCTGTCTTAACTACCTTTCCAACCCCAATGATCTCACCTTTCTTCCCATTTTCAAAGGAGACATTACCTCCTTTTAGGTCCTCAAGTGAAAGGAACTGGTTCTTACTTCCAGTCATATGCTTTGAGCAGCCACTATCCATGTATCATATTTGGCTACTTCCCTTCACTTGGACCTGCAAAACGAAATCAGGGGTTAGTCTTAGGAACCCAAACTAGTTTGGGTCCCTTTTTATAGGCAAAGGGGTGAATTAAATTCCTTTTAGCCCATCCAGGCAACCTATTTTTCTTTTGAACAAAGGTTTTGTTCTTTTGACTGGCATTTTCTTTTGCATTACATTCACTTTTGTAATAACCAGCCTTGCCACAGTGTGTGCAGATTTTGTTCTTAGGAAGTGTGATGTACTTGCTTTTGGGATCCCACTTAGGTGGTGGAGTCCCATAGCCAAGTCCTCTCTTATTGCTACTGTGGTGCTCTTGTAGGCAGGATAGTGCATCAGAGGACTTATTCCATTTGCAAGTTCTGTCTAGTTCCTGCTTCACCTTGCCTAGATCTTCTTTTAGGACTCTTTTCTACTCATCGTTCTTGTACAACTCATCCTTCAATTTTTCTTAGATTTTCTTCTAAGGTGAGATATGTGTGATCAGCTTCTTCTTACCTGTTCCTAATTTCAGTTTTAAGCTTTTAGACCTAAGTTCTAAGACACTGGTGTCAAGTTCAAGAACTTGGTTCTTCAACTCAGTATTTTTACTATCATTTTCACTAGCCCTAAATTTCAGATTTTTGCACTTGGCTTTTAGGATCACACATTCCCTAGAAAACTGTTCCTTCTCATTGTTTATGATCTCAGACTCATCAATAAAGTCTCGCAATAATTCAGATAGCCTTTCTTTAGATAAAAATTTAATCTTATCTTTGAGATGAATCACACTTACCTCTTGTTCATCGTCTGATTCTCCAATGGCCATAAGTGCTTGTTCATCTCCAGCTTCATCTTCTGAATCCTCATCTGAGGTTTCTCCCCAAGCAGCAACTATAGCCTTTGTTGATCCTTTGTTTCTTTTGGGTTGAACTTGTTCCTTCTTCCTGTTTCTTCGTTCAGCCCTTTCCTTCTTCCATTCAATTTTCCACTGAGGACAATTCTTGATCATGTGGTCAGTCTTACCACATTTGTAGCAGCCCTCGTTGGTCTGTTTTTCAGGAGCCCTTGGTTTGTTGAAGGTTGCACCTCTTGAACCCTTTCCTCTCATTAGGTACTTCTTGAAATCCCTTGTGATCATTGCCATTTCATCATCCTCTAAGTCTGCACCTTCAGCTATTCTGAGAGCCAGGCTTATTTCCTTCTTGGGTGCATCCATCTTCATGGGTTTGCCTTCTCAGTTCATAGGCAGTGAGATTTCCAATCAGCTCATCCAACTTGAGAGTAGTCCTGAATAGTAGTGACTTTGCTTTCCCAAGTTACTGGCAAGACCCTTGTAAAGATTTTCTCAACCTTGTCTTCTTCAAGGATAATTCTTCCAAGAGACTTAAGTTCATTTGTTAGTGTTGTGAACCTTGTGTACATTTCTTGGATGGTTTCTCCTTCCTTCATGGTAAATTCTCATATTGAGAATACAACAGTGTTCCTCTTGATCTCTTTATTTGAGGAGTTCCTTCATGGGCCACTTGTAGAGTGTCCCAGATCTCCTTAGCAGTAGTACAACTTTGAATTCTGTTGTACTCGTCTGGACCTAGTCCACACACAAGCCATTTCTTGACCTTGGCATTCTTTTCCCATTTCTTCAAATCTTCAGCAGTACAATCATCTCTCGTCTTTGGCACGTCCACTCCTTCAGCATTCTTCTTTGTAGTAGCCAGGGGACCATCAGTAACAATATCCCAAAGTTCATAGTCTTCTCCTATGATGTGGTCTCTCATCGTGTTCTTCCACCAGGAATAGTACTGGTCATTAAAGAGTGGAGGCCTAGCAGTGGATTGTCCTTCCCAGTTTCCAGGTGGTGCATTCATCTTGATCTGTTCCTAAGGTGTTAGCCTCTTCAAGGATAACCCACTCTGATACCAATTGATGCTTTATACTTCAATACCACACAAAAGGGGGGGGGGTGATTTGTGTGGTACCCAATTTTTGCTTAACTTGATTATAGAAGGACCTGGTTCTTCTATGTGTTCCAACTACTGCTGTTGCGGAATAATAAATACAGAAAATAAAGAACACAGAGATTTTACCTGGAAAACACCTGGCTCAAAAGGTGAAAAAATCACGACCTACCTTCCAGTAGGATTTTCCCAAACTCTCCACTAAAATCATTGAGCCAAAAATTGCATTTACAAAAACTCTTTTGTAAACCTAGGATTAACTCTAATTCCGTTGCGGCACACAACCTCAACTGTTGCGACAACTTCAGGTTAACTCTAACTTGAAAACTCTAAGTACCTAATACAATTGCTTCTATAAAAGATGAAAGGTACAATGTAAAATCACCTACTACAATTGAACTAGAATAAAGAGATAGACACTTGGAACTGGTTCTTCTATCTGGTTCAAGTAGCTTCAGGATTGCACGCTTGAATCACACATAAATTGCTTGCAAAATTGCCTTGCTATTTTGCTCTCAATTCACGTTTAACTTCTGCTTATGTGCATTACCTGTAAAAGGGAACAAAACTGATATTTAAGGAGTTAGTAATTAGAGATTTACTAGGATACAGATGCTACTCTTCCATGGTGGAAGAGTTCTAGTTGTTCTCATACTCTAACTCTATCTTTTTCCTAAACCGTGTTCTCTTTATGTAAGGAGTCTTTCTCCTTATCCAATATGCAACCTTTTCGATCATGATAAGGAGATATTACTTATGATAAATTATGTTTATCTCCTTCACTTGCATCTCACATGTTTGGGTTGATCACAACTGTGCTTCACAAGATGGACCTGGTCCATGTATGAGTTCCTTTGTCAGTCTTCAAAACTTCACCTTTACTTGGGCCAACGGTCCCTCTTCCAAGGAAGATATAATTTTGTCTTCATAAGAAATTTCAGCACAATTAGCACTCCATCTATTGCATTTAAAAAATTAAAAGTTGATTACTTGATTTTTAAAAGTTGATATATGCACTGCATTGAAGGCAAGTGGCATGTGGAAAGCTAGAGTCTACTGAAACCAAGCTGGTCTTTGTTAAAACTGGTTTATTTAAAAAACCCTCTATACATTTTTATGAAATCATTGAAAAAACAATCTCAGTTAAGTAGACTATGGCATAAAAATCTGCAAATCTGTTTGTTACCAATAAAATTAACGCTTTCCACGTATCTCATGGATGAGTTAAGTCTTACTCATAGAAGACGATTTCGTGTTGTATTTCATTTTGAAGCCAACTAAACTCAGCCTCTAATTAATAATTTAATATACAACATGAAACCTTTTTTTTTTCTTTAATATTTGGTATTTAAAATTCACTGACACATTCCAACCAGCTTCAAATGAGTTTAAGTGCACTTGAGCTACTAAAGCATAAGATTGATGAGGAGCTCTAAATGTAAAAGCGAATCTGAGCAAAAGCTATTGAATTCACGTGAACCCATAGACTACAAGTTAAATCTGCTCTTATCTAGTGGCCTTTTTCTCTTTGTTGAGTCTGAAAATGCCAAGGGGTATCCCCCTATGAATCTATAAACGCTGACAAGTGATAAGTTGTCCCAAGTCTTTCTTTCTTTTATGCACAAGAAGCATTCGTCTAATTTATTAAATAAAAGTAATTTTACTCCCAAGCTGCAAATGCTATGCCTTTGTAGAATCAATGCAATTGCAAAATGAAATTCTTGGTTACATGCCTTGCTAATGGACTTAAAGATGTTTTATTTTCTCAATATACCTTATCTAACAATACAACATAAAAATAAAAGGTGCAACGTAAGTGTTCCGTTATTTTGTTCCGAACATAGAAATGGGTTAATTGTCGTTTTCTGCATTCTTCTACTTTCTAATAAAGCTTCCATCTGAATGAACGTCAGCACGAATTAACCACATTATTAGAGAGTATAATAATCATAATGAGTAGTTGTTGTATCCGAAAGAACCATAAAATCTGCCTTCACAAATACATGCAACTGAAAACTAACCAAGTAGTTCAAGAATAAAACTAGTTATCCAATCACTTCTCCATCATTTAAAGGTTTAAAGGGTCCCAAGAAAGTTTTTTATTCATTATTGTATTTACCGTAACGCAAAATTCTCAGTTTTTTCTTTGCTTCTTCATTCAAGAGATATAAAAGTGAAAATACAACAGCATAAGAAACAAATGCCATAGCCCACAAGCACATACATATGTTCAACTTTTCCAGACACATTTCTCTCACCAAAGGCATACAGCGGCAACATCTTCGGTCTTGAAACGCACAATAAGCAAATAAAACACAATTCCTTGGCAAAAGTTCATCCACAATCACTCCTTCAAGTTTCTTTTTGTTACTATGATATTTAAGATAACGCGAAGATTCCAGTTTTTGCCTTGCTCTTTCATTCAAGAGATACAAAAGAACACATACAACCAAAGAAGAACAAATGCCATATGCATGTGTTCAACTTTTCAAGACACGTTACTCTCTTATTAAAAGCATACAATAGCAACAATTCCAGTCTTGAATGCCCATTAAGCAGACTACACAATTCCTTGGCAAAAGTTCCTCCACAATCACTCCTTTTTCCCTTCTGCGGTTTTCTCCGTAGCTCCTACCTTTACCTCCCCAGAACAACATCCACCAGCATGATGGTGGTGGTGATGCAGATGGTGCTTCTTGCCTTTTAATTGCTTCCTCATGTCATAAGCATCTTCCCCATCAGCATAGTACTTAGCTTCCATGTCGTGAATCTTGTACTGTAATGTCTCTGTGTACAACTTAAATGCAGCCCTGTTGCTCTTCCTCACATGCAGAGACACATACTCTGCCCCAAACACCTGTTCCATGAAAAGAAACAGAACTAGTCACGTCAAGAGGCATAATCAGCATTATCCTAGATACATTCCTTTATAAGAAAGAAGATCGACAAGAACAGCATTGCATTATGAATCAATACTTGCCGCTTACACTCTGTTTGGATCATTGTTCCTCATCGTTTTATAATGTATTGTATTGTATTATATCGTATTGTATCGTATTGTTTTATGAATACAATGTTTGGATAGATTGTATTGTTTGTTATTGCTAAATAATATTTTGCTGTTTGGTTTGACTGTATCGTACTGTACTGTAATTGATAAGTTTACTAAAATACCCTCAATTATTTAAATATTAAATTTATCAAAAATTATGAATAAAAATAATTTAAACACAAGAAGGCAAAACACCTTAAGAAAGTAGAACAAAGGAGCGAGACAGAAGAAGGCAAAACAAAGGAGCACATCTAGTTAGAATTGAGTTAAAAGCAAATTAGGGGAAAAAATAAAATAGGAGGCGGCAAAACACCTTTAACGTTGGCGGCAGAAGTTCTAGAAAAAAACATAGTAGGTTATAGGTTGGAGATTTGGAGTTAAAATAGAAAAAAAAAGGTAAATGATAAAATAAAATTGTGGAGTAATAAGTTAGGACATAATTGGAAAGAAAATAGGAAACAATCCCACCACACCAAATCGGTTGTTTCAAAAAAGGGGACTTTTCATTGTTCCGGAACAATGGATTTAACAATACAATACAATCAATTTTAATGAAACAATCAAAACAAACATTGTTTTAAGATAACAATACAACACGATACAATGGAGAACAACCATCCAAACAAGCTGTTAGTTTTGAGCTGAAACAAATTCTAACATAAAAGAAATAAGTAACAATTACTATAACATGAATATTATTTTTTTCATAAGTATAAGCATGAGTACTTTATATAAGGAACGACATGAGTACTGACAAAAGTTAGTTCTAAAAAGTGAGAACCAAAACTCATCAATTTAGAAATTCCAAAAGAGACTTAATTACATAATGCTATCCTGAAATGATCTCGCAACACTTATGCTTGCTAAAAGACTCGCCTTAAGCAGTTGTTCAAGCAATAACAGAGATAAAAACAACAACAATGTGTCCCTCCTTTAGTTGGTTTGTCTTCACTTTGGGAGATGGGTCGGGGAGGGGGAACAGAATGAGCGTTAAGAAGATATGCCTACTCATAGAATGTAATAAAGATTACCAAAAGGATAGGGAAAAGTGATAGTAACATAACAGTCTTCTTTGAGTAACAAAAACATTCTCGCCTTGCAATCAATCTTTAATCTTTTATCTCTATTCCTTAAGGGATTGAAATAATGCTACTTTCTGGTATTGTATTTAGGAGAAAATAACCCTCTGTCCTATCTAGGTAGTGCTTTCAATAACTTGCTCCCTATAAAAATTGTGCTAAATGCCTAAATCCTATACAAACTTTTTTAATTTTGTAAAAATAAATAATTTTATTATGTTGGAACCCCCCCCCCCCCCCCCCAAAAAAAAAAAAAAACAAGCAGTATACTGAACAGTAGATTCTCTACAAAACCCAATCTTCTATACAAGTAGGAATCACGTCGGTGCACCAAAAAAGAATAAAGACACGAGAGGCTATTCCTAAAATGTATGAGACCTTTTTCAATTCTTTCAAATATTCTCCTATTTCTCTCCTTCCATACTACCCACATAAGAGCTAAAGCCGCAACCTACATGCCTTTGATATTCTTTTCCTCATTTCGAATGTGCAACTGTGCAACACCTCTCTTATTTTACCCAGTATCACCCATTGTATCACAAAGCAATTCAAAGCCACCCTCCACAAATTCAACACCACATTACAATGCAACAATAGGTGATCAACTATTCCACTTGAACATTTGCACAAATAGCACCAAGTGACATAAGTGACACTTCTCTTCCTTAGGTTCTCCACTGTCAGTATCGCTACCCTTTTTGCCAACCAAAGCAAAAGACCACACCTTTCTGGGCACTCTAGGGATCCATACTGATAAAAACCCGTCCCCCGTCTCATCAACAGTTTCTGGTAGCATGAATTGACTGTGAACAAATCATCAATCATCCCCCACCTCCACAAATCATGTGTTGAAAGCGATATAATCTGCTGTAGAGTTCTCCCACCAAGTTTTGGAACTCTGCCATCTCCCAATCTTGAAGGCTCCTTCCAACCCTGAGGTACCAAAGTACATTCGTCCCCCTCTTGCACCCTTTGGCTCTGTTGGACTGTCAACTCTCTCAGGTTCAATCCTCATGTATATGTTGTAAAAGGAAGCCCTCAACATATATTCTCACAAGACCAACAACACCACTTGTAGTTCCAAAAGTTAATTCTTCTGCCATCCCCGACCCTGAATGTGATATGACGGTGAAAGCTTTCTCATCCCTTCATGATACTCCTACATAAACCATATGCAAACTGAATTGTAAAGTTTTTAGTCCTCCAACCCCCTTCTGTCGTGATGTACAACTATACTACCACCTCTCTTAATAGCGCATGCTTCCCCACTCCAAATCTATATAGCTATAGTTATGTCTGCTAACAGAATGAAATAGAAATTGGTAAACAAGTAGGGCAAAGTGATAACACCATAACATTCTTCCGGCAACGTGATAATGCTATAACGTTCTTCCTTGGGTAAACCGTGTGGCCTTCCAACCAATCTAATTTTTCATCTATGTTCTTTATAAGACTGAAATATTACTGCTTTCTAACACTGTATTTAGGAGTAAATAACTCTTTGTTCGTATCCAAGTCGTGCTTCAGGTGCTTTCCCATATGGTTTCCTCCCTAAATGAAAAACCCACCTTAATTCAAATAAATTAATTTGACCAATATTTTGTTAAAACTAAATCTAATAAAATTGCCAAAAGGGGAGAGAGTAATATACGAAAACAGTCTTCTTCAAGTAAAAATGTAACATTTTAGCCTCTCTAGAGAGAAAATACTCCTCTTCCGTCTACCTTTCCTTTTCTTGTTATCCTTTTTTCCCACTTTAAACCTTAATGATCACCTCTTTCCTTCATTGCTCCATTCGCTTCCCGGTGATCTCCTCTCTTAGGTGATCAACGTAAAACTTTCTATGGGTGTAGAAAACCTTTTTGTTTCAGTTGGCCACCAATCTTTTGAAGTTATCGCACGGTCGTCAAATGAAGTGCTTTGGTTTGAATGATCTAACTAGTAGCTGAGACTGCGAAGAAATTAAATTAAGAATACTGCCAAAAACATGACACACACAGTACTAAGCCACTTCTTACTACCCCAATTTTCTCATAGTTGACAGGGCATCTAAGCAATAAAAAAGATTCAATGACTTTACCTACTAAAAGAATCTTTAATTGGATTGAATTTCATAGGCCAATTCCAATGTTAGAATAAATGCCTTAATTCAATTTCACAAGGAGTATCAGAATTAAGAAGCAAATTAAGAAAAATGGGATTTACCTGTTCCATGGCGTTTTGAGCAGCGGTCATGAGCTTAGTAGCTATACCAAGTTTACGGTGAGTCCTGAGTACGGCTAAGGAGGTGATGTGTCCATGGCACTCAGAGGTTTCTTCCTCCATCTTGGCCAACACGTAGCCCACAATCTTCCCATTGTAATCCTCCGCCACGTACAGAAGCTGCGGCCAAGAGAGTATGTGGTAGAAGTAGTACTTCATCTGGTAGTTTTCAGGAAGGCAAAGCAGATTGCAGGCTTGCATTGCCAGCAAATCATCTATGGTCGCCTTGCGTATGCACACCATCTCGCCAAGCTAGGGTTAGGGTTCGACGATCCGATGGAGCTCTAACTATGGGGGACGCTTCGGAACCAAAATGTTACTATTCCGGACTCGAGAGACAAAAATAATTGGAAAAAAGTTAGAAAGAATTTTTATTGCTTTGAGATAAATTACCATGGGAAAGAGTGACTTAGCCACCAAGTAAAATCCCAAAAAACTCTCTAAAATATAGACATTCATATTAAATATATTTTTATTTATAACACTCCCCCTTGAATGTCTATTCAACAGATAATGTACGTCATTAAAACTTTAACTAAAATAAAACAGAGTGGGAAAAAAATTCTAGAGAAGTAAAAATAGTACACATATCTAACAATATGCATTTTGTTTGCCTCATTAAAAACCTTGCAAGGAAAAACCATTGGGACAAAACCTTGTAACGGAAAAAGAGTACAACGCGTATTAACTCCCCCTGATGAGAGCATCAATGTACATCCTTGAGCCTTCGCATCCCAATCTTGTGCATCATCTTCAAGAGATCATTAGTAGAGATTTGATAAACAAATCGACCATATTAACTTGAATAAATATGTTGCACCTTGAAATCATCATTCTTGATAGATATGTAATATCTTCATAAAATGTCGTGGAATGGCCTTTTCAATATCTCCATAGAGATTCTCGCTATCATATTATCATGCTTATAGTTATAGCAAGATACATATGTGCACAAATTGCACTTAGGATGTAGTACTTCATGACCATGAATTCTATATGCTTTAAGCGATTTGAATCCTTCAAGGGTTGTCATATAAGTTAAGTCATATAAGCCATATAATAGACTTTAATTAGATGCATATCAAGTTTCATGTCATGCTAGACAAATAATATATTGAAAACTGATTGCGCATACTATTTACTTTATACTTTCAAGTGTTTGAAATGCACGTCCAAAACTACATGTCTTTCATATGAAACTAATTCTACTTGAATTGTTTCTCTTCCATTTGGCTAATGTTTTTGTGTCTGTATTCGACAGACTTAAGATCCTCATCTATATTTAGCGCTATCATAGATATCGTCGGCGAACATTTTATATTGGTTCCAATATTTTTTCATAAAGACATAACATAGAGATCTCTTCCTTCATTTCAGGTACTTGAACCTCTCCTGAGATTTTATGAAGTATTATGTCATGTGATCTTCTAGATCACTTGCCTCCTTATTATAATCATTTTGATCAATTGCTCATCTTCTTTATCAAGAAATTTATTTGAAATCGATTTGTCTATACGTTTAAGCGTACCATAGACTTTTTCCTTCTAGGACTTATTCTAATATAAGCATTTGCAGTGAGAATATTGTTACTTTCTTTAGGTCAGCAAATGCGCCTGGCATGCTTTGCAATAATTGCAGATAAATTATCTTTTTATGAACTTCAAGTTCATATTATTTTATTCGGGGATCTTGATGTACAAATTGTTAAATCTGATTTTAATGATGCAAATAATATATCTGTTCTATGTACAGGAACTCATGGATAGCATTCAAAGATTGAAGGAATCAATCAGAGAAGATCAAGGAATCAATGGATAGCTACGAGATCGAAGGAATCAATCAGGGAAATTAAGGAAAGCAATCTGAGATTAGAGAAGATCAAGGAATCAATGGATAGCTACGAGATGGAAGGAGTCAACCAGGGAAATTAAGGAAAGCAATCCGAGATTAGAGAAATCAAAGCCAAGACGGAATCAATCAAAGCCTAGACTTAAGGAATCAAATAAATCAAGCGTATCCAAATCTGGAAAGAGCAAGAGTTTGGGAAGCATATATGGAAAATCATTCAAGTCTCTCGTCAAGCATAGCCGTTGCTGTATAATCTTATTCTTGGAAAGAATCAATTTCTTTCCAAGGATCAAATCACTTGGGTTGGCAAATCTCTCCAGAAACCAAGCCTCTCTCAAAGTATTTAAACTTGTATCTGTACCCTAGAGCCATATACTTTGATCGAACCAAATACCCTCTCTTTGTTCTACTGCAAACAAATATTGCAGGTCTACTAGATCTGCTGTGTAGCAAGTTAGAGAAGAAATAACACTGGTGAGACATTGTATCAAAAGAAACGAGTGATATAGGAACTAAGCTATCGGTGTAAATCACACCATTCTCTGTGTACTTGAAGAAACTCATTTACTGAAAGAGAACTCCCTTGCAACCCAAGGGGACTGGACTAGGATTCACATTGAATCTGAACCAGTATAAAAACTCCGGTTTTCTTAATTCCTGCATTTAATTTCTGCATTTTAAATTCTGTCCTTACTATTATCAAGTTCTTATATCTAGTCGACTAATTGTAAAACTAGTCAACTTATAGCTATTAAGTTTAAAAATAAACAATTCACCCTCCCCCCTCCCCCCCTCTTGTACTTTCAATTGGTATCAGAGCAAGGCTCACACTTTTCTTTTGCTTAACAGCTTGTGAGAAAAGATCATGGCAAATGAAGTTATCATAGGAGCACTCTTTCAAGAAGGAAATTCCCAAGTAAGGCCACCATACTTCAATGGAAAATACTTCTCCCACTGGAAAGTGCGTATGGAAATATATGCAAAGGCCTATGATATTAAAGTATGGAGAGTTATCAAAAAGGGAAACTATCCTCTGCTGGCTGCCGCTCAACCTCTTATTGATCCTGAAGATATAGACTCATATACAAATGAGCAAATGGCGGTTGTGCAAGTCAACAACAAGGCAAGAAATTTGCTCTATAATGCTATAAGTGGTGAAGAATATGAAAAAATCTCCAGTTGTGATACAGCCAAAGAAATGTGGGACAAGCTTGAAGTCACATACGAAGGAACCAACAAAGTAAAGGAAACACATATCAACATGTTGGTTCACGATTATGAACTCTTCCAGATGAAAGAAGGAGAATCCATTGAGGAAATGTTTGCCAGATTCAGTAATCATTAGCGATCTAAAAGCTTTTGGCAAACCATACTCAAGTGGTGATCAAGTTAGAAAGATTCTTAGAAGCTTACCAACCACTTGGCAAACTAAAGTAGTCACGCTTGAATCACATGATCTGCATAAATTATCTTATGATGAACTTCGTGGAGAACTCATAGCTTTCGAAAAGACACATCTCAAGAAAACAAACCAAGAAGAAAAGAAGAAAATAGTTGCATTCAAGGCCACAACTGAGATAGCTGAGAATGATATCGATGATGATCCTGAAGCTCTTCAAGAAGAAATCCCTATGATGTCAAGAAATATGGATGGTTTATTGAGAAGATTTAGGAATACAAGAAGAGGAAGGATCCCACCTAGGCGAACCAGGCAATAAAACGAACAAGGTAAGAATGATGCAAAATGTTATGAGTGTGGAAGATTTGGACATATTCAAGCCGAGTGTCCAGATCTAAAAAGAAAAATCTCCAGAGGTTTCAACAAAAACAAATCATTTGGAAGCTGGAGTGATGATGACAGTTTAGAACACGAAGAAATAGCAAATCTTTGCTTCATGACAATTCTGGAAAACGATATGAACAGACTTTCAGGATGTTGGACAGATGAGGATACTTCAGACGACGAATACAAAGATAACAGTGAAAACTGTTTCATGGCTCGAGGTGAAACAAGCGAGGTAAGGTCTTATAATTGTGAAAGATGTAATGAATTGCAGGATATTCTTGATCTCACTTTGAAAGAGTCTCAAAAAATGATGAATGAACTAAAGAGACTCAACAAAGAAGTAAAAGACTGGAAACTCAAACATGAAGTATGTGAAATCGGAAAAGAAGTACTTCAAGAAGAGTTTGAGGAATTGCAAATGCAACTTAATGGCATGCGCAAATCCACCAGTCATAGTTCTATCAGGTCAAACCAGACGACTTACAAGTCAACTGGAAAAGGACCTGCCAGAACTGAGTCCACTAGTACTAACACTAATGAAAGACCCAAAAATGGGTCAGGAATTATGTGTCACTACTGCAATAAAAGTGGACATACATATTCTTTTTGTCGATTTCGTAAGTCAAATATTTCAGGATGGATTTGGAAACCCAAAAACAATTCTGAACCTAGTAACACTAACCAACCAGGACCCAAGCAAGCTTTGGTACCTAAAAGAAAGTAATCACTATGTTTTGCAGGAACACCACATAAGAAGTCGCAAAGGAAAATGGTACTTAGACAGTGCGTGTTCCAGTCACATGACAGGTGATAAAAACCTGTTCAAGGAAGTTACAAAAATAGATGGAGGAAGCGTTAAGTTTGGCGATGACTCAAAAGGAAAAATAATCGGTACCGGAACAATTCCCTTCAATAACAATTGTGTTATCACTGAAGTTTATCTAGTTGATGGACTTAATTACAATCTTCTAAGCATAAGTCAGCTATGCGACTCAGGATATGAGGTAAAGTTTAAGAAAACATGTTGTGCTATTGAAGAGGAGATAGGTAAAACAATCCTCCCAGGTAAAAGGTATGGAAACTTTACATTCTCGATGGTTTTGAAAATATAGATGGTCATATCTGTTTAACTTCCATATATGATGATCCCTGTTATGGCATAGGAAACTTGGTCATGCAAGCATGCATCTGATAGAAAAACTTTCCGAGCATGAGTTAGTTATTGGCTTACCCAAGCTGAATTTCTCTAGAAATCATATATGTGATGCTTGTCAAATTGAAAAACAAAGTAGAAACTCTTTCAAAAACAAGGATATTGTATCTACTTCTAAACCTCTGCAACTGCTTCATATGGATTTATTTGGGCTTACTAGAACTGCTAGCATAGGAGGAAAACGATATGCTTTTGTTATTGTTGATGATTACTCGCGTTTCACTTAGGTGATTTTCTTATCTCATAAAGATGAAGCGTTGAAAAACTTTGAGGTTTTCTGTAAGAATGTTGAAAGAGAAAAGGGGTACCTGATTATAACAATCCAAAGTGATCATGGAGGAGAATTTTGAAAGCAGAGCATTCGAAGACTTTTGTAATGATCAAGGATATACTCATAATTTCTCTGCACCAAGATCACCCCAACAGAATGGAGTTGTGGAAAGGAAAAATAGAACACTACAAGATATGGCAAGAACGATGTTACTAGACCATTCACT